GTTGGGAGACACAACTAGTGGTGACGGAACAAAAACTCCAGAATTACAAATACGGCAGAGAGACTATTTTTGATAATTGTAACTTTTAGATTGCAGTTAATAGATATTTCAAGAATAATTCCATCCCTATCCAACACAGAGGCTTTGTTAAAAATGTGATTAGATTCTCACTTGATAGTGAGTGAAAAGATACAACGATAGACAAGTCATTTTAGAATGACACCAATGCGTAACATACTAGACATGCAAGGTACACTTCATAAATATTTCTGATGAGCAGTGTATTTTCAAGATGCAACTCAACTGCAAAGCAAAGACAAAGCTGGCGTCCCTGAAGTAAAGGACGAAGAGTTGTCTGGTTGTTTTAAGGAATCCTATTTTAATATCTCAGGTGCAACTTTTCTTGTCCGAGGCACTTTTCAGGAAAGTGATAGTGCACTGCAGTATAAAGCTTACGTTCACAGTTTGGGTCACAGTTTAGATAAGAACTATATTTAAAAAAATGAAAATCATTATTAAACAATTTTCCCTTGGCATCAACAGGACAAATATTTTAATAAACTCAACTAATAACATATCTTGGTTAAAAAAATATTTTCAGCTGCAAAAGACTTTTATGAAGAGTTTGAGAACACTTATGCATGAGTAGTTATGCTGAAATAAAATAATTTTAACATGTTTATATTTACTTTTGATACTCTTTGCACAAACACAGCCTTAATATTATTATATACACTACCATGCAGCTAATTATGGCTGTGTATTTATAGCTGCTGGAACAGATGCACCAGATTAAAATGCTACAGCCCTCAACCGGGAAACACTGCCTAAGTCTAGTGAATGTTCTTATTCCACTTTGGCCCAAGATGAAGCTATTTATTTTGCTTACATTGCTATGGAAGACCTTAAAGCTGCTAGTAATGTTTTAGAAAAGGTAATACATAATACTGCTGCTTACTACCAAGAAAAACAGCAGCTGCACGACCAGTTCTGAAGCACAGCAACATGAGGCCACTAACCATTTCATGTACAATCATCATAACAACCTTTAGTTTAAAAAAGAAAAGAAAAAAAAAAATTAGAATTAGCATCTTTACAACTTTTTATATTAAAAATTAACATTAGCTTCCTAAAAAGCAACTGCCTCCATTCTGTTGCATATTACGAGTAAATAATGAATAGGCAAGGGTAGCACAGTTGTAGTAGTTTACATAGCAAGAGCTGAAAGAACTAGTAGTTTGGCTAATGGTCATTGGCTAATGCAGCAAAAGATCCAGTTCCTTCCAATAGTCATGTATTTGAAGCCTTCTTAATATGCATAAAAGGATGTAGCCTTGCTACTCTATTTTCCCTGAAAGATTGTACTTGATTTTTGATGCTATGGAAATAAGTTATCTGCAAATTTGCTTTCCTCTCTCCCTAAAAGCACTAATTATAACTGATCCTTTTAGTTTGTCAAGCTGCTTCAAAACCACTGTCTTAAAGTAGTTATAGTAATGGAAAAAATTACCACAGATTCTGTCATTCCAAGTCAAACAATCACAGATACTTATTTTTCAATTACTGCAGGTTACGGAAGGCCATTATAAACTCACACTGTTTTTAGGAATACGAAATGTTTTTCTGATTGAGGTTCAAAAAAAAATCATAGCCTACTGCCGGGGAGGGGGAGGGAGCAAAAGGAGGGATTAAAGTAATGTTATGCTCTGTATACTAGAATTTTCATGACTAAATTGCTCCTTCAATATGTGACTCAACGTTACTTCTACAGACAACCCTTTACACAAATCAACTGTCTGCTTGTCCTTCTCCAATAACAGCATGCAATAACAGCATGCAGATAACATACTGTGGATAATATCACGCTCATTTCATCTCCTGCGTGAGTTCACATTAGTAGCTTGGCTCAGATCAGGAGCACCCTTTGAAGCAAGTCACCCGCACGCCCGCACTTACCATACCTTGGTTCACACCTCAGAGCAGTGTTTGACTGTACCAACAAAACTCTTTTGGGATATAACTGAACTGAAAGGTACATTCCAGTAAATACTTACTGTGCTTGAACTGCTAATAAGCACTTGGTCCCTACAAACATACCAAAGCTGGACCAAAATAAGTTGCCCTAAAACACGAGTAGCATGTATGTTAAGTCTTTAGAGCAAAATTTTGTGTCGCATTGTTCTCATCGCGTCAATCCACTTGCTAACAGAGACATAGCCCTTGTAAACAAGGCTCATAAGAGCTATCTCCATTCTAAGACAATTTTCTGTGGTTTGAAAGACCCGACAATCTTACCGGCAACGTTGCTGCCCAGGAGCCACCTGATGGGGATTGTTGAGCTAACTACTACACTGCAGTGAAGGAAGAATGATTTTTCCAAGAAGTTGTTCTCACATTTCATTTTTTACTAATGGAGTTAGTTCTGTTAAACACTTAAAATGCTTGTTTCTCCAAAAACTGTAAAAGAACTTTGAGACTTTTGGATTCCATAATCCTTTCCGTTAATGCAGTTTTCAGAAACTTCTACCAAGCTAATATACAAGCTAAATATTTTTTAAAAAATTTAAACATCTCTTAAGTGTTAATTAGGTATTCATTATATTGATGTAGAATAATTTCTAGCTTATTTAATATTTCCTGTTTATTTGAAAAAAGATTGTGAGTGAAAGAACAGCAAGATCAACTGTATTTTTTTTTTTAGTAAATACAAACATCGATCAGTACATAGATTGGCTTCACTTTCTTGTGAAGCGTCAAATAAAAGGGCACTGAGCACCCCCATGTCATACCAAATCCAACAAGCGTTCAGTATTATTCAGCATTTTCAGCGAGTTCGCTGAATTTCACCTGTTGTCTAAGAACTCCTTTCATTTCTAACAGACATATCAACTTAGAGTGATGAAAAAGAAATACAACAAAGCAAAACTAAGCAGAACACTTCACTGTGTGCTAGCTGCCCAAAATACTGAACTGCAATTCCAACACATACCAAGCACTGTGAAAACAACAGTTAACAAGAAAAATGACGCAGCATGCAACAGCAAAGAGGTAGATGTCCTTCAGTTAAATACTGCTGAGATATTGCAGTCGCAGCAAATCGAGTAGTTTTATGCAACGTCCCTATACAGACAGCTTTTAAACAGAATGCAGAAGAGCCAAATTCAAAAGCATAATCAGTCCTTGCATAGACAATCATTCAACCTTTATACTGCAGTAACATACTCTTCCAAGTAGTAGTTTTCTGACTGGGAAAGATTATACATAGTTAGCAGTAGATAACATACAGAAATGAACTCGGGATTAACCTTCCAAGCTGTATTTGCTTATCTATTCATTTGTCAGCAGCAATTCTTTTGAGGCAAGAATTCTTTCTTATTGAAGATCAAATTTAACTCAAGAAAGCCAGCAATATTCATTCCCCTTTGGGTTCAGCTCCTACCCATCTACTCCCAGCCTGACCCAAAAACACGTTTATGCAGAATAAGTTTCAAAGGTGTAGTGTTGACACACTAACACAGAATACATTCACCGTGGCTTATTCATTTGAGTTCCGCAACACCCTCTTCAAGCATTCTCTCTACGCAAGCAAGGTTCTTCTTTCCAGCCAGCAATATCACTCTGTGTCACTGGCAGGTTTGAGGCAGATGGACGCCTACAGCTTCTGATATTTCTTCATATCTCCCTCCTTGTTCTTCTTCTCCCTACCTCCAAAACACTTATCGTTTTTTATATGCAAGATACTAAGTCACAGAGTAGACTGGTGGACCTTTCACTGTAAAAAGCTTCCATGCTTTATGAACACAAAGACATCAAGCACACGCCAAACTCCAGCGGAAAGGTGCATTTCAGTTGTGACTTAAACAGGGCCTTCTACTATACAGCTGAGAGTTTTTCATGCTCCAGCTGCTTTGGCTGAAAAATAAGTTCCTGTGAGGGACTTTAAATATAGCAGTTGCTATTTGACATTTCAGACTAAAACTAGCATGCCAGCAGTTATCTTCCGCTTTATCACTATCTAAAACTATTCTGACATTAAATAGCAGTGTCAGAACAGGTACTTTTGCCTCAACGTTTTATTCTTAACAGCAGTAAAAAATTTGTACACACTAAGCATGTAAAATGTATCATCTACTTTTAACAGAGAAGGCTTCTAACTTTAAAGAGACAGTTCACAAAAGTTAGGCAATTTCACTTGCTTCTGCCTGCGTAAAATAGCAGGAGTTAAATAGCAGGAGTTAAATTTGACATCTTTTCCAAAGAAGTTCTGCTGCACGTACATAAGAGACTTTTTCTTTTTTCTGTGTCCAATACCCGGCTCCTTAGTACAAGATGGATATGAGCCTATTAGAGCGAGACCAACAAAGGGCCATGAAGATGATTAAAGGACTAGAGCATCTCTCATACAGCGGGAGGCTAAAAGAGCTGGAACTGCTTAGGCTGGAGAAGAGAGGGCTCAAGAGGGATCTTATCAATGTGTATAAATATCCGAGGGGAGGGTGTAAAAAAGACATAACCAGACTCTTCTCAGCAGCGCCCAGTGACAAGATGAGAGGCAGTAAGCACCACCTGAAACACAAGAAACTCTACCCGAACATAAAAAAGCCGTTCTTCATTGCAAGAGTGGCTGAACAGCGGAACAGGTTGCCCAGTGAGGTTGTGGAGTCTCCATGCCCCTCAAAACCTAACTGGACATGACCCTGGACAACCTGTTGCAGCTGATCTTGCCTAAGCAGTGGTGTTGGACCAGAAAGGCTCCAGAGGTCCCTGCCAACCTTAACAAAAGAAAATCCTTAGCAAGCAAACACTGAGCCTTATTTTGCATTTTGATGTTTTTCAGCTCTGGCGCCTCCCAGAAAGTTTAAATTAAAAACAAGATTTGAAGGATTCTCAGTAGAAGCAAATCCTCAAACCCTCGACAGCTGCACAAAGAAATATACCTTCCTCCTTCACTTTGTGTAAAAGGCACCGGCCAGAGCAATTGCGGAGTTTGCTACACCTACCGGGACAGCAGTGCCAGCTTCTGTTCCAGCATCATCTCCAGCTTCTGGGCCTGTTGGGAGAGCCAGTGATCCACACCATGCAGCCGGTAACACGTCTCCAGCATCAGCCGGAAGTCAGCCACGAAATCCGTTATCCCTGTGTACTGCCCGCTGGAAAATTTCTCTTCCATCTTCAGCAGCCACATTCCAGCAGGTAACTGCTGGACCGAGTGAGCGCTGCTGCGACCTGACGGGGAGCCAGCTCCTCCTTCATCCCGGACGGATGCCTCATCTGCCAGCGGCTTCAAAAAAGGCGCTGTCAGAGGCCGGTGCTTCTCCAGAAGAAACTCGCGGAGGATGCGGTACCCGTGCTGCAGCTCGGGGCTCAGGCTCTG